CTGGGCGAAATGACCCCGCTTCCAACGTCGGAGACATCGCGGTCGAACGGCCGCTCAGCCTGGCTGGGGGAGCACGACGCGAGCCACCTGAGCAGCAGCGGCTTCGCCTCGGTGCGCCTCAGGAAGGCGAACTCGTCCTCGGACACCCACGCGTACCACGTGATCTTGCCATCGGCCTTTTGGCGTCGCTTCACGGGGGGGGGGATAAAAGGGTGTGGGGGGGAAACAGGTGCCCTTTTCGGGCCCTGAAGCCCCCCTGTTGGGCCCTGCAGGGCCCCTGTAGGGGCCCTGAAGGGCCCCTCTTCTGCAGCCATCGTTGCCCTCTCCCCCCCTTGCTCGCCCCCCTTTCGATCGACGCCCAAGGCCTCCACTGGGTGCACATTCCGGTCGAGCAGCCCCCTGAGGACCCCTCCGTCCTCGACCCCGTTCGCCAGCGGATCCTCCCCCGGCTCCGACTGGGCCCCAAAGCTGCCGCGGCTGCCGCGGCGCCCCACCGCCAGCGGCGCAGCGATGGCATCCGTCGTCCCAGTGGATCTGACAGTGGCCACCCTCGAGGCGGGCGAGTGGCTCGCCTCTACGACGAGCACGGTGCACACGTAGCGCAGATACTTGGTTTTGATCCCGAAGAGCTTCGACTCCTCGATTCGCACGTCGGGCTGCGGGATGTCGTGGACCACAGTCTTGGCATCGGCGCCCCCCGTGAACTGGCTCAGCTTGTCCGCCAAGATCCTGTCGAGCGACTCCTCCACGCTCACGCCCGACGGCTTCTTCTGCGCAGGCAGCGCACAGTCAGCCTTGATGGACTCCTGCTGGTTCTCCTGCTTTGCGAGCTGCACCAGCAGCTGCTTCTCCTTGTTGACCAGCCTGACCGCGACCAAGGAGACGAAGCGCTCAACCTCCCCCGTCGCGGAAACCAGGAGCGTGCTCTTGCCCGACTCGACTTCATTCTTTAGCGTGTCCAGCTTGTCGTCCTTGCCAGTGAGGATCATGAAACGGCCCACGCCCGCATTGACTTTCATCTTTGCGATCGCGTGCAGGCCCACCGTGACTTGGATGTCCCGGTCCATCCTTGAGCAGAGACCGGCCGTCCCGGCATTCCTGCAGGCCTACCACGGTTTTTTCTCATGGCCAGACAACGTTCTACGAGCAAAACCAATGCCCGTAGAAAACGGAACAGACTGATGGAAACGAGACTGTCCCTGCCAGAACGGTTCTCCCAACTTTTCTCGCAGATCACAAGAGGTTCTTAGAATTAGGTCGGGTGTCCCCCTACAGGCGGATTTTGAGCGACACATCTTAAATAGTCAAACGATGCTCCCAAATAGTCAACATATATCATAACATCGTCCCCGGCCTATTTTTTTACAATTTTTGAATATTCCCCCTGTAGAGGGACATGTCCGACTTAAGTTTAGAACATTCCTTCGTGGGACTGTAGGCAAGCCAGGACGCTTGGCCACTGCCCGAGGCTCCTCAGGACCAGGCTGCTGAACTCGGCGCGGGGCACGCGCAGATCGTCCGGGTAATCCTCTGGCGGCCGAGCCTGCGTCACTGCCTGGTGTTGTATTGCTCCCATCGTACTTAAGGACCCCATCGCAGAAATAATTCCGAGCACCCAGAGAAGTATCGAAGCAGTGTCGAACGAACATCGCCTCCCAGGGCCCGACACGTGAAGACCCCCAGTTTCGGCACTTTCATGGGGCTCGAAATTCTTTCTGGTGACCAGGGCTAAAGCAGATTCGAACATCATAAAAAGCCTTGTGGAAGAACGTACAATACTGCACGGTGATATCCCGTACGTGCGGGTGCGCCGCCATGGCCCGGCAGACGCCCTCCCCGTTCACGGTAAGCACCTGGGACGCCTGCACCGCCTCCGCGGTGCCGGCGTGGCTCCAGTCCACCCACAGGCACGCCTCCGCGAGCCACGCCCCGGACTCAATACCCATCGCCTCATCGAACTCCACCGACGACATTGTCAGGGAGGTCTTCTTGCGAACGACACTCGGCGAGGCCAGAGCAGTCGCGTCGGCAGCGTAATGAAACAGTCCCTTGACCACGTAGTAAGCGGCCACCGCCTTTGCCCCCACGGTGAAGAGGTCGTCCTTGGCGAGGATGTTTTGGAAGTCCAACGTCTCCGCACAGAGGGACTGCAGCGCTCTTTTATCTATAGCGGCCCAGAGGTCAAACAGCGGGTGCGTCGTGATGTGGCGGCGGAACATGTCCAGCTTCAGTTCGTACCGGAGGGCCTTCGATAAGTATCCCAGGCTGTCCACCTCCTTCTCGGAGAGCGCCTCTTTCTTGCCAAGGCGCTCGGTGATCTGCTGCTGCACAAGAACTGCAATGCTCTGGTCGATCTTCCTCTCTCGAAGGTATCGACGCAGCGTCACAAGCCTCTGGGTCTGCAGCTTCCTGGCTTCGTTTCGGTCCACCAGCGCAGCCGAGAGCAGGGAGATCAGGATGGACCCATACACGAGGCCTGCCATCGTGTAACCAATGGAGACCGCGCGCTCGATGGAATTGCGGCAGTACATCTCGAAATTGCCGCCCAGAAAGGTAGCAACACTCCAATGCAGCGAGGTCAAATACTGGTAGATCTCGCCCGACTCCGTGTACTCGAGGTCGATGGTCGCTGTCCAGTACATGCCGGTGTCCGCGTGGGCACGGGTTCCGATGGCGTGCCACGCGCAGGCCATGATGTGATTCAACCACAAGGCCCCAGCGATGATGACGGCGAAAATCATCAGGCTGTTGAGCATCGCTTAGCCGACCCCCATCCCCATCGGCGTGGCCTGGGCCCCACTGGCCGATTTACCCCCCTAGGTGGGGATATAGGCCGTTCCCTTCGGGCTTCGAGGGGCATATCCCCAACTGGGGTGGTAATTTGGTGGAGGTCTCGAAGGGGATGAGGATGGGCATGGGGGTCGGTTAAACGATACTGAGCTGTGGTACTTCTCATCGGTGATAATCTGGGAGCATGCGTTGAGCAAATTCCGGATCTGCATCAGCCGCCCAGCTTTGAGTGCGCGCAGGGCGCTGAATAGCCAGTACGCGTCTGCAGCGCCAGCGCCGCCGAGGACGACCAGACTGACAACATCGCTGCACACGAACAGCAAGTCGAGGAGAAACCGGGTGCGCACGTAGTGCACGACGATATCCATCGGCCTCATCTGCACCTGGTAGTCCCTGACGTACCCGATCATAAAGTTCGAAATCATGTCCAGAAACCAGAACAGGGCAGAAAACAACATGTGCGCAAACGTCCACCCCTCGTATGGACTGTCCCAAGCGATCATGTACGGCACCATGCACAAGTCGAAAACGAGAACCACGATGCTGAACGCTTTGAATATGAGAACCCTGCGGCAGTGCGGGTACAAAATGAATCTGCTTGTAAAGTGTTGTTTGGTGACCAAGTCGTTCTCTCTTGTCTTGATCCTGAACCTCGCCCTCTGAAGGAAATCCTTGGTCGTCGTCGCACGCGAATTCCCGATGTCCAATTCTGCCAGCGCCTCCTCGAAGCACGGCCGCATCGCCACGGTCTGCGGCCACTCGCAGGCGTCCCACACCTCCGACGAGTCGGCATCCGACGCTACAGCACACTCGGAATCATCACCGGGCTCGGCGGCGCGGGCCTCTCTGGCGACGCCATCGCCCTGGGACGGTTCGTCGCCCCGCCCTGTGGCGTCTGGCCTGTCGGCCAGGAGCCCCATCGTGCCGACGTCCTCCTTGAGCTGGCGCAAGGCATCCTCCATCAGGCCCATTTGCGCCTCCATGCGCTGACGGAGCGCCGAGGTGTCGGCGTCGGGCCCCGACAGCGAGAGGCGCGAGAAGCCTTTGCACGTCCTGCGTGCCGGCGCCCTCCGCCTGAACCTGGTCGTGGGCGAAAAACGTATCCGTACCAGGGGCCTCGCGGGCTGGGCCCCTGCGCCGCAACCCCGCGGATACGGGGCGTTTTGTTCGCTAATGCCCCGCGTGAAACGCACCCGTGCGACCGCGCATCCGCGGGATCGCGCCCTGGAATCCAAACCGCGAGGGCGCGGGAATGGATATGGCCCGTTCCCGAAACCCCGAAACCAACAATATCATCACCTTTGGGGGGGCGTTCTTTTACTTCCACAGCCTTCCGCCGGCCTTCCGCCGGGAAAGAGATGTCAACTCCTGCGACCCTCGAAGGCGATGCCCTTTTCTGGAATGCCTCCTATGTTCGCCGCTCGTGACCTGATAGGTGAACCACCAGCATTGTTGTCCGCCATGCCCATGGCCGCCAGCGCGCCCGCCACCGCGCCACCCTGCGCCGCCCCAGCCATGCGGGAGCTCCAGGCAGAACTGCGGGCGAGACGGCCTGGGCCGCCTTGGGCCGGAAAATGGCGACGGACCCGGGGTCGCCCAACTTCGCGTGCACTGCGTCCCGCGAGGCACGAAACGCTGTCCTCCTCGCGCCCTCGCGCCGCAGCCCTGGAGAAGAGAGCCTCCCCAGCAGCCTCCAACCCAAGCCGCGAGGCGCGAGGCGCGGTGATCTTCGCCTCCCCTCGGGTGACCCAGGGAAGGGGAGGAGGAGAAGGAAGAGGAGGAGGAGGAGGAGGAGCAGGAGGAGGAGGAGGAGGAGGAGGAGGAGGAGGGGGAGGGAGGAGGAGGAGGAGGGAGGAGGAGGAGGAGGAGGAGGAGGAGGAGGGGGAGGAGGAGGGGGAGGGGGGAGGGGGAGGGGGAGGAGGGGGAGGGGAGGAGGAGGAGGAGGAGGAGGAGGAGGAGGAGGAGGAGGAGGAGGAGGAGGAGGAGGAGGAGCTTCCACCCTGGAGTGGGGCTGTTCCCGCCCCTCCACGCCCTGCCTCTGAGGAAGTGCCGCCTGCAGCGGTTTGCGCCAAAGGGGGGGTCCATGGCTGGCTTTTGTCGCGTCGGGGGTGAACCGCCAAGGGCTCACAAGCCGCGCAGTGGTAGATTTTTGCAACGCCCATCGAGGCCTCGAAATATTCAGGCACAACGAACACGAATCTGGGAACACGGGCGAGGATCGACGGGACATGATAGCACCGGAACCTCGACTTGTTTGGTTTGGAAAGGTGCTTGCACTTAAAAACAAGAGCCTTACTGGTGTTTCCCAACCCTTCTGCCTTGGATTCTCGTCTTGAATAGAGCAATGCGGTCTCCGCCCTTCTCTCCTTCCTTCATCCTCCTCCCCGCCTCCGTTCTCCTTTTTCTCCTGTGCGTCTGGTGGCTTGCCTTTCGGGCCTGCAAAGTGTGAAGCTGGCATGCCCTGGGAGCTGCGATCTGCGAAACCATCGCCACTTTCGAAGGCTGCTGGGGGGACCAGCGCAGTGAGTACCTGCCGCAAACTCGGATTAAACCTCTCCATGCCTAGGGCGGGTTGCGATTTGCGAAACGGTCGCCACTCTCGAGGGTTGCTGGGGGGGGGCCAAATAGCGGGCACCCGCCGCAGACTCAATTTTGACCTCGCCATCCCTGGGGGGGTGCGATCCGCGAAACGGTCGCCACTTTCGAGGGCTGCTGGGGGGGACCAGCGTAGTGGGCACCCGCCGCAGAATCAGGTTAGAACTCGCCATCTCTGGGGGGCTGCGGTCTGCGAAACGGTCGCCACTTTCGAGGGCTGCTGGGGGGACCAGCATCGGGGGGACCCGCCCGCCGCAGACTCAGATTAGACCTCGCCGTCCTTAGGGGGCTGCGGTTTGCGAGCTGTCGCCAGTTCCGAGGGTTGCTGGGGGGGGCGCGTGGTGGGTACCCGCCGCGGAGTCAGATTAGATTTCGCCATTCCCGGGTGGTGGTGGTGTGCCATACGCGAATATGTCGCAACTTCTGGGGCTTGCTGAAGGGACCATCATAAATGGGTACCCGCCGCAGGCTCAGATTATAACTCGCCGCCCCTGGGGGGCTGCGATGTGCGAAAATGTTGTCACTTTCGAGGGCTGCTGGGGTTTCCGCGGGGTGAGGCACCACCCAAGCTCTTTCGAAAAAGCTGCCGGGGGGACCAGCGGGGTGAGGCACCACCCACACTGAGACTAAACCTCCCCATCCCTTGGGGGCTACGATCTGCGAAACTGTCATCACTTTCGAAGGCTGGTGGGGGTCCAGCGGACTGAAGCACCACGCTTATTTAAACCCGACCTCGCCATCCCTAGGGGGATGAGATCTGCGAAACTGTCGCCACTTTCGAAGCCTTCTGAGGGGTTCAGCGCAGTGAGGCACCACCCAGACTCAGATTAGACCTCGCCGTCCCTGGGGGGCTGCGGTCTGCGAAACTGTCGCCACTTTCGAAGCCTTCTGGGGGGTTCAAAGGAGTGACGCACCACACAGACGCAGATTGGACCTCGCCGCCTCTGGGGAGCTGCGATCTGTGAAACCGTTGCCATTTTCGTGGGCTGCTGGGGGGGTCAGCGGGGTGAGGCACCACCGAAACTGAGTAGACCTCGCCATCCCTGGGGAGCTGCGGTCTGCGAAACCGTCACCACTTTTGAGGGTTGCCGTGGGGTCCAGCGGGGCGCCGTCACGGACCGCCCGCAGACCTGGTGGCGCGCCTTCGAACGTTTAGCTCCCGAGCTGAATAATGCGGGAGGGAAACAGGGACGCTGGCGGGCGAGCTACGCTTCGCTCGCTTCTTGCACTAAGTGTAAGCAGCTTTACTCATTTTGTCGAAGCGCCGCGGCGGCACGGCGCAGGCAACGCTGCATCTCTAGCGCGGCACCGACAAAAAGCAACACCTTCGGTCCCGTCAGTTTCGTTGTCGTCCTCGGCCCCCTGCCACCTTCCCTCTGGTGCTGCTGCGCTGACGGGTCGGTCCCCCACGCGTCCTTTTCCTGCCATTCGTTCCCGCCGCGCTCGCTCCTCGTCCTTCTGTTGTTGTCCTGTGAATCGTGCCACGTGACCGCATCACATGTAGCTTGCACAACCTATAACGGCGCCTCCACTGCCATGATCCTGGCAAATTTGGGCCAACGCCTCTTGCCTCTTGATACACATGGGTCGGGTACGTCACAAGGTAGTTCTTAAATGGTTGGCTGCAGTCCGGGTGTTCGCCACGCTTCCGCCCGTGCCGCCTCGTGGGCGCCTCGTGCGCTGAGGGCCGCCTGTGCGGCCTCTTGGGCCGCCCCGTGAGCTGGAGGGGTTTGCCGAGGTTGTGCCACGCTGCCGCCCGTGGCGCCTCGTGGTCGCCTCGAGGGCGCCACGTGCTCTGAGCTTGCACGACGTAGCTTCCACCACACAACTTACATCACATAGCTTACACCGCATAGCTACACAACGTAGTTGACGTCACATAGATCGCACCATAAACCATAAGGATTACCTCCAAAACGCACACCACATAACGACGTAGCTTCCACCACTCTCTTTGACCGCATAGTTCCCACCCCTACAGTGCAAGCGCCGCACTGTTTGGGGTCCACGCAAACTAACATTTATTCCAAGAAACAAGAACCGTGTTAGCATGATGCGCACGTGCACGCACCGACTCTGCCACTCTGAAACAATACACCAGTGAACACACGGACGGCGACACAGTCTTACAACTGGACGTGTCTACAAAACTGAGAGCGTCCAAGACGGCTGCTGATTCACGGCGTGACCGTGATGGGCGCACGCGCGCTGTGAGATGGCTGAAGGCCGCCGTACTGCAGCTCTCTTGTTCGACGGGCTTCAGGGGGCCCCGCCATCGAGGAATCTGCCAGTGAGCGAGGACGATCCCAGAAGCACCAACATTCGAGAGGATGACGTAATCGAAGAGGGATCGTCGAGACCACGGCACTGCGCCTGAAGGAACAGAGCCGACCCCTGCAAGCCGCACGGACCTTTAAAGAACATCCTTCCCTTCCTCTTACGCTTCTTCTTCATGAGGCACAAGAAGGCTAGATTTCAGCATGTGGCTTTCAGTTCTACAACGCCAGAAAATCTTCATCAACCCACTCGATGCTTCGTCCAGGGCCATTGCTTCTGCGCCCAGAGCACGGTGCACGGCAGTTCGATGAAAGTCCCTGTGCGACTAACGGCTCAAATGCCCTTCCCTTCCTCAACTTTCCCCGCCCTCCCCACGCCATCGCCCTCCCCCATCACATCACCACCACCATCCTTTCGGGGAGACGTAAGACTCGGGTACGGGGGACTCGGGTTCGCCTGACGGGACCGGCATAGAAATGACGAGACCTAATCTGAAATTTGACGCGAGCTCCCGCTGCAAATTTCCCACGCAAACTGGACCGTTTAAATCCAGGAAGCGCTCGTCAAAAAATGTTGGCAAACCCGAGTTCTGGCGTACTCGAGTTTTACGATTCCCGGATCCTTGCCCCACACCACCCCGCGCACTCTCACCTCCCCCTCCCGCTCTTCTCCAGCCGCCTGCGCGCGCGCACTCCCCCCCTCTTCGTCCGTCGCGCACCTCACCCCCCTGTTCCATTCCTCTTTCTGTCGCGTCCTCCTCCCACTCCTTGTCGCTTCCTCATCCTCTTTTTGTCGCTCCACCTCCTCCTTCTCTTTTTTGTCCGCTCCTCCTCCTCCTCCTTTTTTCGCTCCTCCTTCCCCATCCCCCGTCCAATCCGATACACCCCCTCCGATTCACGTGCCCTGGTGCTCCCGCCTCTGCTGTCTACAATCGCACATCCAAACCCCAGGCTGTTGCTCCTACATCCCTGGATTCCTGCTCCCAGCTCTCCACTTCGTCCTCACACTCCGTGCCGCCTGCACCCACGCCTCGTGTGTTGTGCGCTTCTGATGCATGCACTCTTTCCTATCTGCCAGTTGTGTATCTGACGCCTCCACACCCCGTCCATCCACCCACCGCCTTCTCCACATGCGTGTCAGTCTCCTCCGCTTCTCGCTTCTCATACCGACGAAGAGAAAAGGCGATATAAACACACGGACGGGGATTGTTGCAAAGCGCGTCGCCACGGCGGCCCTGGCGACACGAGATGTCCTGCGAGCACAGTCGCGTCGCTCCGCGAAGCGGGAGGCTCGGAAAGGCTCGGGACATTGAAGCTCTGGGATTTGGAAGTGGATCGTGTGTCGCGCTGAAGCGTGGCGTTCCAGAATTGACGAAGCGGCACGCTGTTCAAAAGATCCCAACCGCAAACATTCAGAGGTCCGCGGGCGTTTCGACCTTCTTCCCTGGCGCGCCGGGCGCGCCAGGGGCAGCGCGGATGGCGCCGCTGCAGCCGCTGGGAGGTTCCAGCGCTGATCCAAGAGATCCGCACGGACCTCCGATTATTTACCTGTATACCTTTCTTGGCGCTCCTATACTACAGTCAACCCGCAT